ATACAGATCATATATTTTGGGTGAAAATTTAGCACCTGAATTGTGCTATGACTGTGGGGCATGTACGCTGAGATTTCACAGGTTTAGTAAGGAAAAAAAGGTCACACGTTTACATGTTGAAATGGTATTTTGGATATTTTGGGTAAGCATACCTGCTTTCTCTGTTATGGCTCCTAGGAAATTTAAAATGGCATGAGTAGCCATATTAGTTTTCTGTTGGACATGCGCAGATGTGCAGGTATGGAGTTTCACTTCCTCCATGCAGTGGCCACCTTCCTCTCCCATGCCCTCCACCTGATGTCCCTGTTACTTCCCTGTCTCTGCTGCTGAAGTCTCTTTCTCATCTTCTGTGCTGTTAGGCCTTCAGCCTGTGAGTACCACGGTGCCTGATTATTGTCTTGCTGCAGCGCTGTGTTGGCTCCTCCGTGTTAGGCTAGCGCAGGGGAGGTGCTCTGCTGCTTTTCTTACCTGCACGGGGTGGAGGCGACTGGACTGATATGTGTTACTGGATACCTGAAGATACCTTTGTCCCCGTCTGTCTGGCTTTTGGCCTTAGGTCCATAGGACAGAGGCATGGGAAGAATTGGTGGGAGGGCATTGGGACTTAGGAGAGGGTAATGGGGCACCTCCTTGATGTGGCTCCCTCCCTGGATGAGACAAGCCTAGCATGGCATCTGGGAGAACCTGGGAATGACTTAGGGAGGAGCTAGGGAAGGCCCGTGGGCCTCATGCTGCCAGCGTGTTGCTCTCTGGCTCTCCCCACACACGCCTCCTGAAGCAGTTATTAAATTCAGAGTGGGCACCATCCTAACTAAGCCAGGTGTCTCTCCTGCTGTGCTTCGTGCCCCCACCCACCCCGGCCATTTAAGTCCTTTTAAAGTATTTTTCCCCTTAGTTCCTGATTGATAACTCTGTTCATGGTATTTCAGGGAGTTCGAAAAACAAATGTAAAAAATAGTAATAAAAATTAGCCAAAGATGTGTTATCTTGCCATCTCTTTTCTACTGAGGGATGTGTACTTTTTATATTTTTTCATTCTGTATTTGGACCCTAGTCTAAAGCTTTGTGTGTAATGCACCTCATTTCTACATCCTTAGATTTTTTTTCCTTTTTTTTTTTTGTTTTTTGACGAGGTCTCACTCTGTCACCCAAATTGGAGGGCAGTGGCATGATTCCGGCTCACAGCATCCTCTGCTTCCCAGGCTTAAGTGATGCTCCCTCCTCAACCTCCAAAGTAGCTGGGACCACAGGCATGCACCACCACGCCTGGCTAATCTTTTGTATTTTTGGTAGAGACACGGTTTTGCTGTGTTGCTCAGGCTGGACGTGAACTCCTGAACTTAATCAGATTTTTAGTAGAAAGATGATGAGGTGTTCCTAGGGAGTGCCACAGGTTCCATACGAGTGTGATAGTCGCTGCCCTGGGTTTTGGTTTCTGTTGGTCTGAAAGTTCCTTACCAGTTAAGTGGCTGTTACTCCTCAGTGGACTCAAAGGACAAGCTGGCCACATCTGCAGGGGAGTAAACTTAGATTGTATGGTGGACTCTTGAGTCTGCAAGATGCCAGCTTGGCTGCATCTGAGGCTACCTTGGGGCACAGCACCTAGGGCTGCTCTGTGAGTGGCTGCTTCCTGCAAGGGCTGGAGACAGGAGGAAGGGTGCGCGCAGTGAGGAGATGAGGCATGCTGTGTGTCTTTTCTCTCCAGTACCTCCATGCACCTGTCAGTGTGATAGTTGGGCTACTTGACTTCTGTGGGTTATTTACTTTGTGGAAGTTAGGTGGAATTAAGGGCAAACTAATGTGGTTCTCACAAAGTGATAGATGCCTGCCAAGTTTTTTGCTTCCTTAGCTGTTGTCATCTGAAATGGTGTGGGTTTCATTTCATTCTGCACCTTTACATTTTGAAAGTTACTGAGATGAGTGGGTGACAGCTATTTACTTCCAAGCATCCCTCTTCGGCAGATTCAGTTCAATTGTCTGGACAGTAGTAGACACTGAATGTGTATGGAGGGCCTCCTAGCAGTGCGTGGAATGAGTTATCTGGGTGACTTGCTTTTACCTGAGGGAAGAGAAGCCTGAAAGTGAATTTAACGTTGCCTGGAAGGTGGGAACCCCTTGACCTATTTCCCTAGGATGGCATTGACCATCGAAGTCTTCTGTAAAGGTGTAGGAATGGCCTTCTGTGTACCTTTGGGGGTGTGTATCAGATATAAATCCAGCACTTGAGACACTGTCAGCTCTCACTGACTGGTCACAGTCTTCAGTTCCTGCTTTGTCAACCAGGGACTTTGGAAGCTCTGACACTAATTTACCGTCACATTCTGTGTTCCCTTTTCTTCAAGAAAAGTGATGCCGTTCCTCCTCCTAATCCCCATAGATTGGATTCTGTACCTGATGAGTGATGAGGGCAAGATTAGAAGAAAAGTCATCTTGTCTAAAGCCATTTCTTGAGAGAGTCTGGATACTGACTGGTGTATCTTTTCCAGATCTTTCTCTTAAAATCACGATGAAGTGCCCAGGGTAATATCGTTGAAGAAAAGATCATCCCATTAACGTCAGCTCCTCACCGAGGTACCCAGGGTCCGGTATCTCTGGATCCTGAGTCAGTGTGTGCTGTTGCCTTTCATGCGTGTGTCTGTTCCTGGCTTCATCTCCTTGTGGCCGTCAGAGGTCTAGTTTGGCTCTCCCAGCCAGCAAGGGCTGTTGGTAGTCATGGCTAAAATGTTGCTGGGGGTGTTAGGTCATGGTGTCTCTAGAAGCACTTGGGCCAGCCCTGTTCCTTTTTGTATCCGCAGTGAGTGTAGGCAGGTTCCAGGGACACCTTGAGTCAGCCACTGCTCTGCTGCTTTGAGAAGAAACTTAGAGGCATGATATACTCTTGCTTACTCACCCCGACTGCTTCCCAGTGGGTGAAATTAGAGCAGTTGATTGGAATGTCACCTTTCCCGCTTGTGGATCTGTTTCAGGAGTTCAGTGTTATTTCCACTTGCACGTAACAGGACTGTGTGTTAAGCTGGTGTGTTTGGAACATTACAGCCACAGGCAGTGTGGTCATGAACCATGCAGGTTGTCGTTTGCGTTTCACTCATCTCCCTCTTGGCTTCCCAAATTCCCAAAGGGCATGATCTTGACCACTCACATGGAAGTTGGCATAACATGTTTCCCTGGTGTTTGGTATATAGGAAGTTTTTATAGTTTTAAATTTAAATGAGGATTATGAGCTTAGTTTTTATACTTTTGTTTGCAATGGGAAAATTGCAGAAGACCGGTGTGATGTCATCCAGAGAAATTTTCTGATCGACACCAGGGGCCGCCCAAGATTGTATTATCAGCTGAGTGTTTGACTAAACCTGTTTTTCACTCTTTAACTTTTTTCTCATTTTAATTATTTGTGCCCTCTAAGAAGTGAATTTCCTCTCCCACGCTTGCTGCCTTTGTAGTCTTTCATTCTCCATTGTGTCCCCTGTGTTATCTTCCTCCTAGGAAACACTCCTCTTAAGCAGAGCGAAGTGCCCAGCTCACTGCCAGCCCCCACGTTGTGATCTACATTGCTCTCTGGCCATCTTGGAGTCTCTCTCAAAGCAGGGTTTTAATCCATAAACTCAAAGAGTCTTATTCTGTTGCCTAGGTTGGAGTGCAGTGGCATGATCATAGCTTTCTGCTGCAGCCTTGCTGAGCTCAAGCAGTGCTTCCGCCTCAGCCTCCTAAGAGCTTGGGACTCTGTGTGCGAGCACATCCAGCTGTGTTTCATATTATGGTGCAGATGAATCTCAGTGCCACATACCCCGCACCAGCTCTGTTGAAAAAGATGAATAGCTGAAAAGGTGTAAAGTGAAAACAGGTAAAGAAGATGGGATAATGGCTTTAAAAGAGGGAACAAGGAGAAAATGCCACTCTTAGCTGTGAAGGGCACAGCTGAGTCAGTGGGAATGCATAGCCTGAATTAATGACATTTCTGTCATAATCTTTCAGCCTGTAATTTGGCCAGGTGTAGTGCCTGAAGGGCCAGCTCACCAAGTAGAAGTGGACAGACACCAAGAGGCCAGTAGGAACTTGTGAAAGGGGATAGATTGCATAGAGGCTGAGTAGTTTTTACATGTGTGCCGAGTGGTTGATTGGTTTTCAGTGTAAGTAGGTGTTGTCATCCACACACCTGCCACCACCTCTGGCTTCATTCTGTGGGTCTTTGTGCCACCCACCTGGCATTGTTACCTAATTTCATCTGTAATTTTGCATCCTGCATTTCTAATGTAACATCACATACCCTCACCTTCACAAAGTCTAGAAATCTATGGAATGGGCTGCAAACTGTGGCCTGCAGGCCAGTTTTATTGGCACACTGTGAGGCTCATTTGTTTCAGTATTATTTGTGTCTACTTTCATGTTATGATGATGGCAGAATGGAATATTTTAACAGGCTGTTTGTCCTGCACATCTGGCCCTTTATTGGAAAAGTTAGCCTAGCCTGCCCCTGCTAGAATACATTTTATTAACCCAACAGTTTTTGTTTGGTTGGTTGGTTGGTTGGTTGGTTGGTTGGTTGGTTGGTTGGTTTTGAAGATGGAGTCTCGCTCTGTTGCCCAGGCTGGAGTGCAGTGGCGCGATCTGGGCTCACTGCAACCTCTGCCTCCTGGGTTCAGGCAATTCTCCTGCCTCAGCCTCCTGAGTAGCTGGGACTACAGGTGCATGCCGCCATGCCCGGCTAATATTAGTAGAGATGGGGTTTCACCGTGTTGCCCAGTCTGGTCTCGAACTCCTGAGCTCAGGCAATCCACTCGCATCGGCCTCCCAAAGTGCTGGAATTATAGACGTGAGCCCCCACGCCTGGCCAGCCCAACAGTTTTGATCTTGTCTGTGTGAAAGTTTTGTTTTGTTTTTGCTACATGCTTCTCACAGGAACATTTTACATTCATGAATCTATCCACCCAGATTTACCCATCAGCAACATGATGTAACCCACATGTAACAATGGAACCTTTCACTGTACCTGAGCCACTTGTCCCTTCAGCTGCTGGCACCTTTTGCCGGGAAAATATGGTGCAGCATTTTCAGTGCTACTAGTTTAATTAACCTGCTGATGAGGTTCAAAAGCAGAGAGACTGGAATTCTGGTTGATGAGATTGTGGTCTGCCCGGTTTCCTGGTCCTCCTGGCTGCAAGATCCTTGTGTGCGGGTGTCCCCTCCAGTGGAGAACAGAGAGCGTGAGTGTGGCTCACACTCTCCCCTAGCAGGAAGGCCAGTATATCTCTGCCTTGGCTTGTCTGATTCAAGGCAAGCTGCAGGGTCTGAGGTACTGCAGAATCAAGAGGTAATGGGGCCCCACCACTCGACTGGTCCAAGAGGTGGGGGGTGGGGTGTATACATGCTGCATGAAGGAGGATTAAGGCTTCTAAGAGCTGCCTCGGCTCATGGCCACTGGCCCGGCTCCAGGTGGCGCAGTCTGGCTGATGACACGAGCGCAGTTCTCACCAGCTGCCTGAGCCAGTCAGATGGAAAAGTAATTCTGTTTGTGCTTCCCCACTGACACAGATTGCACAATTAAACAGGCCACTGTCATGAATTTGAAGTAGCCGCCACTGTAGCACCTAGGAGGGGAATAGACCTTCTGATACTGATGTTGTGTAACCAGCATTTTAGCAAAGATGTTTCTAGGACAAGATAAGATGTAAATTGCTGTAAATTGAATCATATTGAGAAATTACCAGGTTTTTACTAGTCAGGGTCCCTCGTCCCCTTGTTTTTGTCCCCGGGCAGAATCTAGCATTCCCCGAAAATAATTGTTTATACAAGAGCCTTGGAGCGGTGGAGAGGTGACCTCCTCTACCTAAAGGGTATGTGTGACTGTGAACTTGTGATTTCATGAGGGGCTGTAGTCAGTTGGCGTAGGCTAGCACTCTGTATGGAATAAAACAAATTTAAGCCATGTCCTTTCAGGCATCTTACTGCTTGGGAAGCATAAATAACAACTTGGTGTCCCTTCCCTTTGCCCCCACACCTCATGGCTTCAGTAGGGTGGTATGTTTTAGATTTCACCTATGCCACGGGGTATGTCTCATTGTAAGCAGATGGCCACGTGCTGCAGGGAGAGGTCTTGGCTCTGATTTGTTTAGGAGGATGAAGTTCTTTGGAAATACTACTGCTAGAAGTCTGACTTAAGACCCAGCTTATGGGCCACATGGCACTCAGCTGCTTCTGCAGAGAAGGCAGGCCACGGATGGGTACAGCAAAGTGTGGTGCTGCTGTCCAAGCCAAAGACCCGTGTGGGGTAACTGGGCCTCTGCCCCTTGTGGGTGTTGCCAGTGTGCTTGGTGAGTGGAGGCAGCTGCGGAGCAGAGGACTTTGAAGCACGTGCTGCTCCAAGTGACGTCCAGCCAACCAGGCCATCATACACTCTGCCTCTGTCACCATGGGGATGATGATGAAGGTGATAAAGTCGCAGCCTGCTTTTTAGGGTTGCTGTGTGAATAACTAAGCCAATACAGATGAAGTGCTGGATAAGAGTATCAGCTCAGGAAGTGGCAGGTACCTCCTGTGGAGCTCTTCCAGGCCCCTAGTGCAGGTCGGTGTGATGATGGTTTGCATAAAGCTCTGCTAAGTGTGGTTTTACGGGAGAATCAGAAAGCCTTCTGTTAACCAGCCATCGTCTTGGCGACTGCTACTGCCTTCCCTGGCGTCTTTCTGCCTGTGTGCTCCATCACTTTAGGAGAGGGGTGAGTCTGAACAGACCAGACAGAATGAAGGCAGGATTATTGGGTTTCAGGGGGCCTGCTGGGAGGCCAGGACTTCAGGTAGAACTATAAATACAAAGTATAGTTGGTCCCAACCCATTGGTTTTCTCAGTGACTTGTGATGGACAGAACTGGAACTGAATCTCCAGCAATCAGCAGATTCTGGGCAGTTGTTTATGGTCTTTCTCTTTTCCTCTCTGGCTTGCCTTTAGAGTCCCAGAACTAAGCCTGCCCTACATGTCTGTATCTATCTCTATCTTGCTTTGCTTTCTAATCTCCTTTCGTGGTCTGGGAACAGGTTGCTTGGGGCCAGGCGCTTTGTGATGAGTGGGCTCAAAACAAAGTCCGTCTGGAGACCCTGAAAGCCCCTTCAAAGGATAGGAGCTAATTGGGGCAGGCGATGAAGAGAACTATGGCTTGATGGAGGATGCCAGTGAAGAGGGCTTGCTGCCATCCACTTTGCAAGTAGGAACTACATCATTGCAGAAAGTGTTCAAACTTTCTGAACTGGTTTTGGATTTTTTGTTTTCTACATCTTTTTTCATTTTTCTACTTCTTTTTTGATTTTTTTTGATTTGTCTGAACTATTTTGATTTGTCTGAACTATTGACTAGATTGTAAATAAGGTTAGTCCAAGGAAACAATTTGTTTCCTGCTCAGAGTTATAAAACATTACAGTTGTGTTCATTACAGTTAAGTACTGTCTATCCCTAAAATTTCCCCAAAATTCACTTAAATATTATGATTGCAGAGAACATCTTTGAAAA